GTTGACCAGGATGGTCTCGATCTCTTGACCTCGTGATCCACCCGCCTCGGCCTCCCAAAGTGCTGGGATTACAGGCTTGAGCCACCGCGCCCGGCCGAGAACATCTTAGACAAAATGGTGAAACCCCTTCTCTACTAAAAATGCAAAAATTAGTTGGTCGTGGTGGTGTGCCCCTGTTAATCCCAGCTACACGGGAGGCTGAAGCAGGAGAATCACTTGAACCCAGGACGTGGAGGTTGCAGTAAGCCAAGATCGTGCTACTGCACTCCAGCCTGGCGACAGACAGAGACTCTGTCTCAATAAAAAAAAGAAAGAAGTGCTTGTCATAAGATGCAGTATAATCCCTGGATGCCAGCCACAAATTTTTTTTTTTTTTTTTGGGACAGTCTCGCTCTGTTGCCACGCTGGAGTGCAGTGGTGCTATCTCAGCTCACTACAACCTTTTACCGCCTGGGTTCAAACAATTCTTCTGCTTCAGCCTCTGGAGTAGCTAGGATTACAGGCACTCGCCACCATACCCAGCTACTTTTTTGTATTTTTAGTAGAGATGGTGTTTCACCATGTTGGTCAGGTTGGTCTCAAACTCCTGACCTCGTGATCGGCCCACCTGGGCCTCCCAAAGTGCTGGGACTGCACCTGGCTGCTAGCCACAAATTTAGCTCTGCACTTCCTTTCTTTTTTTGAGACGAGTCTGGCTACATCACTCAGGCTGAAGTGCAGTGGCACCATCTCAGCTCACTGCAACCTCAGCCTCCTGGGTTCAAGCAATTCTCTGCCTCCCTGCACTCCCTAATGGCCAGGGCAGAGAAATACCATCTGTATCATAAGATAAAAATAAAGCCATTGCTCGAAGGTTGAGAAAGGTTAACCGATTTGTCTAAGGTGCCCCAGCTGTGGTCTGGCACCACGGTGTTTAGGTACCTGCTGACAATGTGTCAGGTCCCGGAGGTATTTGGGGTAAGTGGGGTCTAGTGTCCACAGGATCCAGAACTGAGAGCCTGGTATATACAATAGTCAGGTTCAAGAGAGCAGGATAAACAGGCCTCCTGTCTCCACAGTCCAGGCTGAGGAATTAAAAACAGTCTGGTAGTCAGGCATTGGTCAGTTCTCTGAGGACCAGGGATCCAAGAGACTCAAAGGAAGAGAGCTTTGTGTGGAGCCAGGCTAGAGCCGGTTACACTGCCCCTCCCATAGGTGCAGCCCAGTCTAGGCAGGACAGGCAGGGGCCACCCCAGGGCCTGAGCCCCAATTAATTCTCATTAAGGATAATCAGACTACAGATCCCTAGATGGGCCTAGAGCCAGGCCCTTGGCCAGAGTCAGGGAATTCTATGGGGCTCCCTTGGCCCTTATCACACAGCGAGGGGAAGGAGTGGTAGTTGGAGTTTGGCCCAGCTCTCCACACTCTTGCCTGCTGGGCTTTTTCACTGAGGGTGGGCCAGGGCTGGAGAGAGAGCTGCCTGGCATGGCAGAGACTAGAGACAATGTTCCCCCTGACTGTCTCTAGGCAGGTTGGCGGGACCAGGAGCTCTGCAGTTTGTGCCTTCTCTCTCATGGACATTGAACGTGTCTTTAAGGGGAAATACAAAGAGTTGAACAAAGAAACTTCACGCTGGACTACTTACAGGGGCCCTGAGACCAACCCCCGGCCGGGCAGTGTGAGTATTACCCCCTATACTGAGCACAGTCCAAACACATAATGTGCCTGGAAAAGCACCTATCATGGCATAGTAAATGCCCAATAAATGTTAGTGCTCCCTACCCCGCCAGTCTTGTCTGCCTAGACATACACCTGGTACAGCTGCCTATAGTCCACATGTCCAGCACAATGGGCTGTGTGCCAAGCACTGTCTCTGGCATTGCCACCTGCATTTACTTTTTTTTTTTTTTTTTTTTTTTTTTTTTTTTTTTTTTTTTTTTTTTTTTTTTTTTTTTTTTTTTTTTTTGTAGCACTATTTACAATAGCAAAGGTATGGAATCAACAGCCTAAGTGTCCATCAAGACAAGAATGAATAATGAAAATGCGGTATATGT